AGTTTTTTGCAGAAATATACAAACGCCATGTTTGTTTGTATTGCATTAACGCAAACATTTTATTTTCTTTTGACCAGAAATAGTTTTGAAGCATCCTGCAGCAGGATTGTACTGGAAAAAGTCCTGCTGTTGGCATCGACGCCCTATCACACTTGAACTTGTTCTATGGCTCTTGTCCAGGGTGTTTTCTCCTGACTAGATCCCTGTTTGTGTTATGTCTACTCTCAGATGTACGTGGCTTTTGGATAAAAGCGTCTGCCAAATTAAATTGCAGAACTTTTAGACAAATATGTGTTTTACCAGGTAGCCTCACGAAGATCTTCTTCAGGGAAAGTATTTGTGAGGTGCATAGTCAACTGATAAAAAGTCTGTTGTGCTTTTTATTTTGAAGCTTCTTTTCTGTTAATTCAGTACAAACCCTGTATTTTCAGGGATGCTGCAAATAATTAGACATTTGTGTGTTATCTATATTTCATTTTAGTGTGTTTGCTTTTTTTGGTTCTAAAAATGATGAAAAAAAAATCCCATAAAAATTCAAAAAGAGTCTCTTCTTTGTTACCCATATCAGCCTTGTTTTATTAGTAAGCCAAGAAATTATTAGAGGTACTGCAACACGACATCTACATGTGAGAAAAAAAATATGACAAAATCAAGTAAGTTTAAACATCATGAGACAATCATCATGTTCTGGCTAATCAAATATTTATTCTGTAATTAAAGCAGCAGTGAAGAAGTTGAGTCAAGTCTGCTTGGCTCGTTGCTGGAGTTTAACTAGCAGCCCTTTAATTCTGACAGTTTCCATCAAACAGACTGATGGGAATGGCCAGTCTTTGCTCCAGGATCAGCTCCAGGGTCTCCAAAGGCATCCGCCTCACATCATAGCCACGTACCGCCGCCTTCGCCTTCATATTCACTGGCACGATCTCCTCTCCGCTGGTTTGGTCGTTTCTTCCCACTGCAGCATACGTTGGGAAAAACTGCCGCTCAGCTTCAGGAAGGGTGGCTTTGTATGACGGGCAGCAGTAGGCAGACCACATGTACTCAGGAACAGAGACCCTGTTATTAATCCAGCGTCCCCCTGAGTTGTAAGGCATGGCCCCGGTGATCACATACATTGGGCCTTCACAGTAGGCCTTGAACTTTCTCAGCACCTCTCCCTCCAGCCTGCTCCAGGGGCCAGAGTTGGAGCCTGCCCGCTGAGGGACGATATTTGTCAGAGTAAAGGTGGCCTCTCGGTTTTCTCTGGTCTTCTGGTGCATACTAGGGTTGAGATGGCCTTTGGTGAAGTTGGAGTTCCTGTAGTCCTGAAGCACCGCCTGGCTTTCAATCACATTCTGATCGACAGAGATGTTAAAAGGTTTCATCTCTGGGCTCGCACGGGAAAACGCCAACTGAAAGACGGTGAAAGAAACACATTTCTCTGTTTAAAAGCTGCAAAAGAGTGTTTTGCTGTTAACTGATGTTTTAATCAGTTTGAGGTGATCATTCATGTAAGTGTAAGCCAGTGCCCTTACTTTTGCACAAGCATTCTTTACAACCTCACTACAGAAAAGACAACACGTATGACTACATTTTTGCATTTTCAGTTTGGAAGATGTTGCTTTACCTCTAAGTTAATGGCAAAAAAAATTATTCACACTAGTGACACATTGACCACAATGACATTTCAATTATACCAAAATACTCGAGCTTCCTATCCTAAATTTGCATTTCCCCTAATTTACTTAGAAATGCAAAATGTTTCTTTTTTCTGTTTAAGACTATGTGGAAGTTACTTAGTTGCACATAACTCTACACTTTGACAGTAAGAACTTAACAAAAATGCACTTATGAATTTATATTCTGTTGCAGAAAAACTATAACTTGCTTGACTTTGTCCTCATTTTAACACTGGTTTTGCCCAATAATCTATTGAAAGCATCATACAATCTCAGCATATATAAATACATGACAATCACTATGATACTATTAGTCTGTAAAGTAACTGGATGCCTCTTTTCCGACCTACCTGTGGTTCATACATCCAAGTGGAACCGGGCCGTTTACCATCTGCAGGACTTAGTATGTACGCAGAGAACAGAGGTGCACGACGCTGACGGTCGTACAGGCTGGCAAAGTGGTACTGATTTTTGTAGCGCTGGCATATTGGCTGGTATCCTGCTGCGTTGACACCCATAGGTGGAGTTTTATTGTAGAAGAAATCAAGGCAGTGGGAGAAGTCCTTGTCGACCTCTCCCACGACGAGGCCACCAAAGAGGAGCAGGAACAGAGCTCCTATGAAGGGTTGCAGCGGATTCCTCTGAGACATCCTGTAACGGCTGAGCGGGCTGGCTGGACAGAGATGCTAGCAAACACAGGCTTTGTTGACTGACTTCCTCTCTGTTTGTTTAGTGTCAGTGCAGCTTCCGAAATGCAGCTATCAGTGGGGTTTCCTCGAATATATACTGAGAGCAAAAACGCTGTGGTGGACAGTTTTAACACAGGGCCCATGTTTAAGATAAAACTTCCCCTGTCCAGCAGACATACGACCTTCTGGGAAACACCGGTTTCCATATCCTTTTTTCATCTTGTCTTATGTATTTCCCATCTTTAGGTGACTGTGTCAGGCTGGGGAAGTTACGACTGACCTGAACATTTCTCTACTCTGGAAATTTGCAGTCTGCAAGCTAAGAAGCACCTATTTCTGCTGTGTTTTGCTTGGATATGTGTGAATAATCCTGTTTCTATTAGATTTCTTCAAAATTAGAAGTCTGTATCTCCGCTGCGCTTCTCTGCTGCAGGTGGAAAATGTCCTCTTTTGACAGTGCTAGCACTCAAGCAAGATCAGAGACTTTTATATACACTGAAGGAGAAGGCGCAAACAATATAGTTCCATGGCCCCTTTTTTTAAGGACATTTTTCAGCCATCGGCACAATTCACTCAGTCTCTCTCAAGAGACCTTGAAGATCTCAGAATGAAAGAAATGAAATACTTTTGTTCATTCTATCACTTTCTCTGAACACTGCAGAGAGCAATGCATTCTGTTTGGCCTTAGGTTCAACAAAAGTCCATCCTTGGGCTCGGAAGACAAAGAACTCCTTCGGAAATGGGAACAGATTTTTAAAAAGTGTTGCTTAGATCTCATATGAAGAAGAACTGATGGAAAAGGTCAATCAAGGGGCTTCTGATGAAATTGTAAAAAAAGGATCTGAATCCTGACTTCATTAGCTGTCTGTTAAAAAATGCTTTGAATTAAGAAGTGTGATCCAGCCCCCTTTTTCTACTACAAAATGAACATTTATTTATTTCATGCCAGAATGTCTGTGTTTAAGAAATCTTCCAGGTCTAAAACTGGAGATTCTTTTGTTACAGCATGTCAATCTGTTGACACATGACAGATTCTGACTATATTTAGGCCAAAAAAGACAAGAAGATGTACCAAATGCTACAGGAACTGACGGAGCAGCATCTGCTTGCCGGCTGCTAGAAGTTGTTGTCTTGTGTGTGCCCCATTCAGAACCTGTTCTTTTTTTCTTTTTTTCTTCTCTGCAAAGATTCTGTCTCCAGTTTTACAAGGGGAGGTCAAAAAGTTCATAGAACGAGGTATATACTGCAGCAGCAGACAATGCATTGTACTATTATTTTTCAGTATAGTCCCTATTTACCTCAATGCACCAAGCCCACTGTTCCTTCAGACTGTCTATACCTTTAAAATAGATGTCTTCAGTTTGGGCCTCAAACCATGCCTCTGAGGCAGCCTGGAGCTCATCATCATCAGGAAATCTGGTTCCACACTAACATGATTTCAAATTTCTAAACAGGTAATAATCACTGGGGGCCAGATCTGGACTGTACTGGACTGGACCTTCGAGAATAGGAACTTGTGCAATTTGTGACTTGTGTACAGGAGCATTGTTGTTCAGAAGCAATACACCTTTGCTCAACTTTCCTCTCCTTTTTTCTTTAATAATAACTTTCAGTTGCTTCATTAGATCTGTATCGTAAGACCCGGTGATAGAGCTTCCAGCAGGTTTGTAATCAATCAACAATACGCCCTTAGAATCCCAAAACAGTGGCCATGACTTTGCCAGCTGATGGTTGGGTTCAGATTTTCTTTGGCAGGGGTGAGCCAGGGTGTTTCCATTTCATGGACTCTTTTTTTGGTTTCTGGTTCACACTGATGAATCCATGTTTCATCTCCAGTCACTAAACATGCACAGAAGCTCTTTGGGTTGTCATTGTAAATGCCAAGAAGCTCCCAACTTGACTGAAGGCTTTGGAAGCAACCCTGAACATTAAGGTTTCTGGGGACCCGTCTTTGACATCCCAAGATGTTCATGGACTATCGTACAAACACTTCCACAGGAAATCTCATACTGCCTAACTATCTCATCAACCTTAATTTGCCGATCATTCATTATGAGGGTCTCCAAAGAAGTAATCATTTCCTTTGTGATGGCATCAGCAGGCCGACCTGACCGTGGCTCAGCTTCCAGTGAGCTGTGTCCACTTTTGAATTCAGCTGACCATTTTGCCACAGTTAAATATGCAGAACTATTATCACCATGTACCTCAGCCAGTTGCCAGTGATTTTTTTTTGGCATTTGGTTGCTCTTTATGAGGAACTTTATTCCTGTCCTAAACTCAAAATTTTGGTTTTTCATCATTGCTTGATGGTCATCATTTTAGAATTTCTCTGAGGATCACACAAGTATGTTGTAACAAGTAAACTTGATATGTTTGAACTCGTGCGATGTTGCGTTGTCTAGATATGTAAAGAAACTTTGTGTTACGCCTGGTTGAATATCCTGTTCTGCAAACTTTTTGACCTCCTCTCATTAGCTGTCATTGTTTCTGTTTCTGTCTGTCACTGGTTTCTATGTCGTCTAGAATTTGTCTTCTCAGCGAAAAATTTGTGGGAACCAGAAATTTTCACTATTAGCTCAATATGTTAACGCTTCAGCTTGTGGAAAATGAGAACTCACCGCATTAAGGGAATGCTGGATTGCGGGAAATATAAACATTTTGGGGAAACTGCTTGGTAGATTTGAGACCGTAATGTTAATATTTAAATTACTGATACTAATCTTGTTTTGCGTATCAATACAAATGTGATTCATACAAAGAATCTAATGTTTGCTCATTAGTGGATGGACCCTTTGCTTCGTTGCTGCTGTGGGCACTATGTTAATTAACATTCATGCACTGCTGTGATTATTATTCACCATTAAAATGTTTCTTATGTTTTAACATGCACATACATGATTAAATAATTAACAAAGAAAGAAAAATGAACTCAGAATCTCTTGCAAACCAAACAGTGGTGATGTAAATGCATTTAGAAGCATATTAATAACTCAATAAACGGATTAAAACAATATTACCACTTTTCACCGTATTGATTTGAATCTCAGTAATCCTGGTCCTGGTGTTGCTGGAATCAAAAGATTGAAGAGTGCAGATTGGATTTTGTGTTGTTAATAAGCACACAAATGTTTAGACTAAGGTGGACATTAGAAATATGATGCCTTTCAATGTACCCTACCAGAACCAATGCTGATTTTCCAGATAAATGCTTAAGTCCCCTGCAAAAACCATCACCATAAAATGTACCTGAAAATGTGGTAATTTACTGTCTGAGGAGAAATTCTAGGACAGAAAGAATACATTCTGCTTGAATCTCAGTGAAATGTACATGTTTAGACTGCACATCATGGCCATCTAGTGAGGACTCAGAGGCACGACACCGTGCAGATGGATGATTGACCGTGATCCAGAAACTGAACTCGGTCAACTTAGTGAAACTGGTTACGCTGCTTCACTTCCAGTCATTAGTGATGAGCTGTAATCTGTGAATGGCCAGGAATTAACCCTCTGTTTCCACACAGAGATGAGTTACGTGGCCTTACTCATTGGTTTATCATCTTCTTCCTTGTTTTGTGTCTTATTCTAATGACTCAGAGGGTGTGTTTTGGACATTGTGTTAAAGATTATGTACAATAAAAAAAAAAAGTTTAAAAAGGGTGAAAGAAGAAAAAAAAAACGTTAAAAATAAAGTAGAATATGATTTTGGAGAAAAACTGTAAAAAGTGTAACAAATAATAACAAATATCTGAAAGTATTGATATTTTTAGCTGATTTAAATAGTGTTATTTTAAAATCACATGTTATAAGGCTGCAAGGTGGCTTGGTGGTTAGCACCATTGCCTCGCACCTAGAAGATCCCCGGTTTGTGTCCCGGTTAGCATGGCTGGGATCTTTCTGCATGGAGTTTGCATGTTCTTCCCATACAGTGTCTCTCTGGGTTCTCTGGCTTCCTCCCACAGTCCAAAAACATGTTGAGGTTAATTGGTGATTCTGAATCGTCCGTAGGTGTGAATGTGAGTGTGCTTGGTTGTCTGTCTCTAAGTGTAGCCCTGTGATAGACTGGTGACCTGTCCAGGGTGTCCCCTGCCTTCACCCTGAGTCAGTTGGGATAGACTCCAGCCCCCCTGCGACCCTAGTGAGGATTAAGTGGTGTGTAGATAATGGATGGATGGATGTTGTAAAAAAACACATTCCTATTTGTAAAAATACTGCTTTTTGATGTGGACACTGTGTACACTTTGGCCTGTTTTAATTTTTTACATTTTATTACATATTATCTGTAATGTAATAAAACAGGGCTAGGGTTAGGGTCTGTAAAATAACAGCAAATTGTTAGAAAACATTTTTTTTCGTCTTTGTTATATATATTTTTACTGTTAACATGTACATTTGCACTTTAACATATCTGTAAGATAGCATATTTATTTCCCTGATTTAAATATAGTAAAATAGTGTCATTTTATTATCAAATGTTGTAAAATGAGCAAAAGTCTATTTGTAAAAATTCTGTTTTTTATGTGGACATTATTTATAGTTTTGGAATTATTATTATTATTCTAAACTTTAACTGAGATTTTACTGGATAAAGAAGTTGAATATGTTTTTACACCACAGTTAATGAGACCTGAAAGCTCCCTTATGCTGCCCAAATACATAAGAATAATGGTGATAAGACAAGATTGAACTTTATCAATCCTGGCAGACTTCTGGTGCTAAATATTTTTTTTTAGAAAAAATGGAACAAATGCTTCTTTAAAAAACGATCACATATAGGTACAATGGATTACTAAAACTAAAAAATAAGAGTAGAATAGAAAAGTACAAAGTTAGACTGACAGTTAAACTAAAGTAGTAAAGTTATAAAGCACATGACACTGACTTATTACAATTAATATTCCTTCTTTAATGTATAATGCAGTGCAATCCAGCTGTTCTGCCATAAACTGTACTTTTATCAAGTCAAAATGGTTCTGATGTGTAGTTCAGGTGTTTATTAGTCTCCTCTTTACTGGTGACAGATGACTAATGACTTGGACAAACTTTACAATCTGCAACCCAAAAGACTTCACATTTACTGCTTAAATGTTCTATGATTTATAAATTGAACAAGTTATTAGGTGAAACTTCTAAATACTTGATGAGGGTAAAGTTGCACATCATAAGAGAAATCACAGGAGGCCTGATTTTCTTTGGTACTTACTTACACTGTTTCTCTCTCTCTCTCTCTTTTTTTTTTTTTACTTATGTCTGCACATTTGTTTGGTTCTGCTTGTCTCTGCACGCCCCTCCGTCTCTTCCGTGAAGGCATTCGCTGTGCTGTCAGCCTCAGACCCCTCCCTCCGTCCCTCTCTCTGTGTGAACGGAAGAACAGTCTAGTCTTTACTTGTCGCAGTGTTTCCATCAAGCGTTTCTCCTCAGGACTATGTGCGCAGCGGAGAATGGCGGAGGCCAGCGCGCTTGAGGAGCTGCAGTCGGAGCTCACCTGTCCGGTGTGTCTGGAGCTGTTCCGTGACCCTGTGATCCTCGAGTGCGGACACCACTTCTGCCAGGTGTGCATCGTTCAGTGCTGGGAAGCCAAGGCGGACGAGCTCTCCAGCTGCCCAAAGTGTAGAAAGACGTGCGCGCGTAAACTTCGACCCAACTCACTCCTGTGCAACGTCGTGGACAGCGTGCGCAGAGCCCGGGCCATGGACGCGGCCGCGGGCACGCTGGGATGGGAGCCGGAGGGGGAGCTGGAGATGCCGGAGGAACGCGAACCCGGATCCAGCATGAGCAGCGTGGCCTCGTCCATCGGGCACTGGCCGCGCCTCACCATGGATATGTGCGAGGAGCATGAGGAGAAGCTGAAGCTCTACTGTGAGGACGACCAGCTGCCCATCTGTCTGGTGTGCGGAATGTCCCGAGACCACAAGACCCACAATGTCATCCCCATTACTGAGGCCTTTGAAAACTACAAGGTACTGTGGCCCAGTTTCCCTCAAACCAAAATATGCGTACAAACCTTAGATCAGGCTTGTAAACTACTTATGTCACCATGTTTTGTCATCATGATGAATCTACAAAGCTTCTATTATATCATTCTTTATTTTCTGCTCCATGTTTGCTCTACAGTGTCAAATCGTTTGTTTTAGGGTGTGCCTCACTTTACAATCCCCATTTGACACTCCCCTCCTTGTCCATTGAGTGAAATGCATTTCAAAACATTCCTCAAAGCCCAATCAAACCTACTTTCTAATTTTAAATAAACCTGATCGGCTCTGGTGTGATCGAACAGGGTTTTGGCGGAGCAACTGCAGTGACATGGCAGTCGTGTTTTTAAAAGCACACTCCCTGTAGGCCCCGGCAGCCTCCGGGTACTTTGTGTTTTACAGGAATTCAACAGGCCGTTGTGAGCCTCTCCACGCTTTTAACTGTGCAGCTGAGCTTGTTTGCAGACTCACTCGGAGAGGCCTCGCTGTGAGCTTTAACATGTTTCTGCTGGTGCTAAATTCCCATTTTGTTTGGATTTATGTGTCAGAACTCAGGATGGATGACTGTCATATGACTCGCATTAATAATGGGATGTTGTTGTTCAGAATCAGGCAGCAATCAAATTAACTATCTGGTTCCACTTTGTAACAACATGTGATTGTCTATTTTTAACAGGAAAAGCTGTCCGTGGCTCTTGAGAAGGTTCAGCTGCAGGCCGAGGAGGCCACACTCTTCCAAAGCCAAACCAACGAAAAGATCCTCCTCATTAAGGTATCCACATGTGTGTTTGTGTCTGTTTGGGAAGCTTTGTGAAAGAACAAAACACTTGTGTGTGTGAACACAACCTGAAATTCTGGTGGCGAGGAAACGTTCACCTGCATTCCTCCACCTTTACCTGACAGACGTGAGCGAGGAATGACTCACTGTACTTTTGACTGGCAGTGACGTAACAGGTTGTTACTTAGTCTTGTCTGATGATTCTTGTCTTTAGCTGGGGGCTTGTCCTGAAATTAAAAAGGTGGTTCATGGGTACATGTCGTCTGTTTTCTTTCACAGGCTACACATTTTGGCAGAATGTACACAAACGTTGCCAGTCACACAGCCTCACACATAGCTGCGGACAGAGTTTAGATTATCTGTTTTTACCACCACCGCAGGATTCGCCTTAAATTGAGGTCACAGTGTGTCAAACGCAGATATGAGGGTTGTGTTTGCCGCACTGGAACGTCTCTGCAGCATCAGATAACTTCACATCTACACTACAAACTGCCTCTTTCTGTTCAGCCCGTCTGTCTGAATGTTGGAACGTCTGTATATTTTGCTCCGTTCATTTGACCCACTTTATGTGTCGACTCACAGGTTTTCACTTCTTCGTTTCAGTCAGTATGACAGGATGCGGTTGAGCAAGGTTCAGGGGAAGTTAGTCGGTTTGTCTTTTCCTGCAAGTTTCTCTTTCTGTCGCTCTGTGTAAAATGACAAACGTAGAAATCTGGTTATCAGTTGGTTATTTTTTTTAACAAAACACAGTATATCTCAGTAGCCCTGTCTCCAGGAGATAATGTTTCTCTACAACTAAACTCTGTTCTCGCTTATGTTTTTTAGAAATTTTATTTTCTGCCAGATTATGCTTGTCATTGCGTATCACAAATACATTTCAGATCAAAATACCTTCGTCATTTCTTTTATTGCTTTACTGTTCCTCTTTTTCAGCCAATCGATCATATATTTGATGGGGTGGGACTCGTCACCCTGGTAACTGAGAAATGAGGGGGAAAGCTTCAAGCATACTGTGAAAGCATCGTATTTTTAAGCCAGATCATGCTACTATCCTGAACCTAACCAAGCAATATCAGTGCTACTACTCTAATTATTTCTCATCTTTATTTTTAAATCTAAGGCATTACTGGTATTTAGAGCATAGTTAAAGTGTGATGGCAAAAAAACAAACTATACAAAACCAACAGAGACATATAACCATTAAAAGTCTAGTGTCACTAGTTCACTTCATCACAAACACAAACTATGTAGCTCACCATTTGCACTAAGATTCAACATGGTTAATGGTTTTTGTGCCAACCAAACAGAGCAGAAAGTGAGCAGTTTTCTGTGCTTGGATGCAGTGCAGGTTTATTCCTGTAGTGTTAGAAAGAGCAGAGAACTATTTGTTTAACACAAATCCTACTTTTCTTCTGGTGCATCAGGTAGTAACATGGTCAGTATTGCTCTGTGTATTTCATTTTAATTATAGATCTGCACTATTAAATAATTTTTGTAGAAGTCACAGGTGAATGTGGACTTTTATATTGACTATTTTGCATGTTTTTTTTTTCATATGCATGTGCCCTCACTTGTGTGATGAGAAGGACAGAGAGGGAACAGCTGCAGGAGGACGGCTGTATTTTCAGATTCCGGCGTTGATTTATTTACATACTTATTTTTTGCCTTTTTCAGATTTTTGCCTTCCTCAGCTTTAGTGATGCAAGTTCAAACAAACATCCTCCCGAAGATTATATAAGCGCTTGTTTACAGAGTTCAAAAGCGCTCGAGAGCCTCACATGTTGTGAATTTTGCTGTTGTGTGTGTGCTTCACTGAAACTAAAAACTCAGTTACTTAACTCAAAATGAAGTTACCAGTAGAAGCATTCCCGACAGAATGACCAGTAAACATCATGCTTTTTCTGTCAGTGTGATATCTTTTAAAATTTCATCCTAACAACTCAGCATTTCATTGCCCTTGTATAATTCAGTCAGGATAGATAGGTTCTGCTTTGAACTCAGTAATGTTTTTCATGCTTTTCTTTAACCAGGTAACAGCACTGACTTGTCTTGATTTGAGGAAGAAAATTTTCTGTCCACTTTCTAACTTTTTTGTTAGTTTTTTTACCTTCACTTGACTAAAATTTTTATTTAGATTTTGACCAAAAGAGTTCTTCACCTGAATATGATGCACAAAGGCTCCACTTTTCAGTTTAGTTTACAAAGCTACAAAATGTGTTTGTCCTCTCTGTGTTTCAGGAGCGAGCAGGAGATCTGGAGGAGATGGTCACTGCAGAGTTTGGCCGCCTGAAAGAATTCCTACTCGAGGAGGAGGAACGCATAAAGGAGAGACTGCAGAAGCAGAAAGAGAAGAAACTCAACCAGCTGGAAGAAGCGCTCACGAAGGCCACAGAGCAAATCAGCCAGCTGGAAACTACGGCTGACAAACTTCGTCTCAAACTGAGGGAAGAAGAAAACCCAGAGCAACTCAAGGTGAGAGAGGAGAGGCAGGACAGAGGAGCAAATCTGTTATATAGCTGCATTCTCTAACTCGGATAGATTAACGTGTCAGTTGCTTTAAAGATTAAAGCCAAGCAAATACAAAAGACGATTGAAAGAATATCTAGAGGCTCAGTGTCAGAGATGGCATCTGCATGTTTCAGCAGAGACTGAAATATTTTGTAATCATAGGCTTGTTTTGATCTGCTCTGTTTCAGGGAATCAAAGATTTCATTGGAGGGTGAGTATCATTCTGATCTGGTCAAAATCATTTGAGGACAGTGATTTCTTACAGAGTTTTTCTGATATGTAGGTCACCTCCCCTTTAAAGTCTACATGATCGTCGTCCCACTTCAGGTTTCACAAGTAAACAGTGTTGTTGAAACAGGATGTGAGGTCACGACTGTGGTTTCTAGTCACATTTGTCACACCTTCTCATGCCAGCTTGTGGCTACTAAGAAACAGGAAGTCAGCAAGTGCCTCCGTAGACCTGACATCTGTTCCATTTAAAACTAAATTTAAACAGTCATTTCCCCAGTGCTGCAACACATATTTTTCATTTGTTCAATCATCTAGTTTCAGTTTATCTAGGTGACACATTACCTGAGTATTATTAAGGTCAAACACCAGAGCAGACTGAGGCACTCTGTTCCCCAGGTCTGTCTGATTAAGAGTTTAGCATTTAAGATAATATAATTTCTTAATTAATGTCAGTGCATTCAGCATCAGACAGTCATGGGACTCTGAGAGTGCGATTACTGAGTCATGTTGTAAAGAGTAAAATGATATGTAGCAGTTCTAAATCTTAGGAAATTTAGGTTACGATTACACATAAATTACTAAATACCTCTTTCTGCAAGAACAAATGTGACGATGACTGTTCTGGTGTAAGGTTCAAGCAGCATGCAGGCACCCATCTGACTAGAGATTCATACATTTTTCATTAAAATAATAGTTAAAAAAAACAGGTATCATAAGTAATTTGTTGCCCTTTTGAGCTTCACCTGAATTAAACGTATGTAAGAAAGTACTCCTTCTGGAGCCCTGTCGTGTGTGTGTGTGTGAACGGAAAACAAACTGATTCAACAAATTAACATTTTGTAATCCTCCATAATATTACTTCTGTCTCTCTGTCAGGGCTGAGAGCTTGTTTGAGCGCCCCCCGGAGGTGGCGGTGGATCTGCAGTCAGCTGAGTTTCTGGGACCTCTGCAGTACAGAACCTGGAGAAAAATGAGCTCCATTTTTCAACCAGGTACGACGACATAAACACCACCTGAGCAGAGGAACAAGAAAAAAAAAAGTGCACTTATTGCTTATTGTCTGTCAGGAAAACACACATAGTAAAGACAGATGCAGTGGAGGCTGACATATCCTCACTTGACACTTGCTGCAACACAAAAACATTTCTTGTCTGTTTTTCTCTACCTGCTAACCACCCACATCTTTTCAAACAACGCTCAAAGGTTTTTGTGCAGGCTGTCAAAAAACAAACAAACAGGCAATACCGCTTTAGTCATTGTCTAAACTCCTCCAAAGCAACAGAAGATGTTGTACAACTGCTTTCACAGGCTCAGTAATACTCTCCATGACTAGAATATCACATTTGACATGTAAATTTGGTGCTACAAAACACATTTTTGCCCTTGGCATGTACTGTTCAGTCTAGTGTTTATCTGCTCTATCTGGGGAGGTTTAAACATGATTGTATCTGCCCTCTAAACTTAAATGCTGTGTCACTGAGCAAAGTCAGGTGTACAAAGACTTATTTGGGTATTTTAGGTAATTTGCCAAAGACATGTCATCATATATTGTTACCGATTTGGTAAAACTAGACAGAACTCCAGAGATTAAATAAATCTCTAGAATTACATCTCAGTAACATCATTTATATTTTATTTGTATCCATGTAGCTGAGTCTCTTATCCAGCTCACCTTACTCTAATTGCGCAGGTTGGCATTCAGTATCTCGCTGAAGGTCACCGCCAAGGAGTCATCCTCCGGTCATTCTCTGTAAACATGTTGCATTGATCCATTTTTAATTTTTTTTTGATGTCCTCTCAGCTGTCACAGCAGTGACCCTCAACCCGGACACAGCCTATCCTTGTCTGTGGGTTTCTCCGTGTTGCACCAGCGTCCAGGTGGGAAAAATCCAACCAAACCTGCCCAACAACCCCGAGCGCTTCACCCGCTACAACATCGTCCTGGGCTCTGAAGCCTTCTCCTCGGGCAGACACTACTGGGAGGTGGAGGTGGGCTCCAAAACGGCGTGGGGTCTCGGCGTGGCCACGGCCTCCGTCAACAGGAAGGAGGAGATCAGCCTCTGTCCAGACGACGGTTTCTGGACCATGGTGCTGAGGGACAGTGGCGACGGCAGCAGCGAGTACGAGGCGTGCACCGACTCAGAGGAGTGCATGTTGTATCCCGCTAAACCCCCCAGGAGGGTGGGGGTCTATCTGGACTACGGGCGTGGTCAGGTGGCATTTTATGATGCAGGAGACATGAGCCACCTCTTCACCTTCTATGATGCAAAATTCAAAGAGCCCGTTTTCCCCTACTTCAATCCCTGGCCGATCATCAACGGACACAACCGGGAGCCGCTCACCGTAGTAACGCCACACTGGGGATAGATGTCCTTTTTACTAGAGAACTGATGCTGTGCATCAACAGATTGAGACTCAAACTGAATACAGAGATTCAGCAGCCAACGAACTTTGATGGACTCATCTAATGAGCATTCACACATGTGCCTTATCAGAAAGACGTCTTGGCTATATGAGGATAAACATGCAGGTAACTGGAATTCTCTTAAGAAACTAAACTGGACAATTGACACTCTAAAAGATCTAACTGTCGACAACCAACAGTAAAAAAAAAAAGAAAAAAAAACCCACCAAAAATAATCAATTGATTGATCAAGCGTTGTCTGTTTAGGGATAACTCCTTCTATTTTGTTCCTCTGAGTCACAGAGCTCCATTGCTGTTGTTTCACAACTATAAGAAATGCATCATGATCCGTTATTACCATGAACACATACTGTACTTTTATATTGAGTCAGTCCTTCGTAAACCCTCCTGCTGCTGTAAATACTAACCAATGAATAAACCCCACAGTGCCCAGAGGTTTAGAAACATTATTTTTGCTATATTTTAGACTATTTTTAACACAAGACTTTATATTTGTGGCTGTTTAAAAAAACAAAAAACAAAAAAACATTTCCATCCTAATCAGAAATTAAAGGTCTTACATGGAAAAACAGACAAACACTTGGTTGGTTTTGGTGTTTTAATAAAATGTGTTAACAGTAAGAACCATATGGACCCGTTTTATCCTTTAAAATTTTGTATTGACTTTGAATACTTTACAGAAGGAGTAGGACATATTTGTCGCTAAAAATGCATTCGAACAGAAAGATGTTAAAAAAATGTTATTATTCTAATCAACATCTAATGATATAACATAATATATTTTATCGTTTTCATGTATACGATCCTGGTATTTTTATGACATGTACATTGAAAGCAATGATGTGTTGAGTGAATGCTGATATTTGACACAAGACTTTAATAATATCATTACATTTACTACTGAGGTTCTTGTTGGTACATTTGATTCCACCAGGGGGCACCAAAAACTAACTTTAAAAGCAACGTCACTGAGTTTGTCAGCGCTCTTTATAAAACCGCTCTGCGCTTTTATGAACCATATGGAGGCCAATCTTATTCAGCTGCAGCGCACTTAAGGCTTTTAGAGAGAGGTTCATCTCAGATCATGTTTATTTTTCACTAATATTTAGGTCAGACAAGTTTATGTTTGTGTGTAGAGCACAAATCACAAGTTTTCCAATGTGTGCGACACACTCTGTCCTTACAGCTTCGATTTAAATGACAAAAATTTCCCTCAGAATATCTTTGATTAAGAGAAAATGTGAGAAGCATCAGGAAGAACAACAGATCCATCTGCAATGTGCGTGGACATACAATAGATGATGCCTGAACAGCAAAATTACAATATTATGGATGGTTTATATACATGCAGTGATTAACAAATTTCATAGATCACCACCCAGTGTAAGGTTTATGCCACAGCTTCCCTACATTAACAGCATTGGTCATTACCAAAAACATTTTTTAAGTTTCTGTAATGGTTAATAAACCAGCATGTAGAAGCTCTTGAACCAAAATGATATTTTTATGTTAAAATATAATTATTGTTGTTATACATGAATTTTCAAATTTTTAAAATTTTCCAAAAAAAAGAAAAAATGGTAAAGCACAGTATTATTCTTTCTTATATCTTGATTAAGATGTCAAAATATTGTTATTTACCTGCATTCATGAACATAAAAAGTAATTTTAGTGGTTGAATGTTATGCTTGATTAATTTCTGACTTGTCAAAGAAGCCCAGTGAGTCGGCTCAGATTTGGGTATAAAAAGGTGAAATTCCTCATTCTTGTTCAAAATAGTCAAACGTCGAGAGCTGAGTGCGGATTAAAGCACTTCATAACGCTGGATGGTCTATATTATAGAGTGCTTCACAAATTAGGTGGTCTGATAAGTTTGTTACGCACTGTATATAAAGAGCAAAGAGCCCAACAACTCACATAGAAAAGAGAAGAGACAAGGACACTATATGCAAAGATGGAGGAAAAAAAAGTCAAGACTCAAAACATCTGGAATTAAGCACTGACAGTTGGAGGATAGTGAGAGTCTAAGATGTACCGACACACCTGTTGCAAAGTGCATATGAGGTCCGTAGAAAGGTTACAGAAAGTGAAAACTGATGCGGTGTTTGATCGAACTCAACTTCCCTTCAGCAAATATCCCATTATGGATTCTTAGGAGTTTGATTCAACATATATTACAATAAAATCCAACACAACACACCCACACTACACACACAGAGTGAAAATATAACTGGAAAAAGCTAAAAAAAAAAAATCCTGAACATTTATTCATTAAACACTGTTTTATAGCTACAAACACCTGTTTCTCAAGATAATCAGTTGATTAGCTTTGTCCTCGGTGTGGTTGGTGTTTACCTGTCACAGATACGCACAGCGTTCCTCTTTCAATGTCCAGTTAAGCAAGGTTAATGAGTCACCCCGTGCCAGTTGAGCATTTCGGTAATCTGTGACTACTATTACGAACAAATAAGTAATGAGAGTGAGTCTGACCCGAATCAAACTTATCTGTTCTCCGTGTCTATCTGTGGGCGTCATCTGCCGATACATTAACAATAAGCCGCTGGTCTCATGACTATACCTGTCAGGGTTATGTGCAGTCCAAGCCTTCTCTCCTCTACCTGTCCTGATCTGTAATTAGATATTATTGCGGGCCGATCAACATGCAGTAACACAAGCCTTCACTTCTACGTTACTGCTCAGCTGCCACGCCTTCTGTCATTCATCCCTGTCTTTAAGCGGTTTCAGGGATGGTCAAGGTGAGAGAAACAAGAAAAGTCATGTTTTTTTTTTTTTTTATTTTTTCTTGGGTTTTTTTTTTTTTCTTTTTCACACCCCTCATTTCTGTTCCCATCTTGTTCATTCACCATTCGTCTTCTCTCTCTCTCTCGAGTGATGGATCTGATCCCAAAATACAACCTCTATTTTTAAACCCTCAGCTCTGTAACTTAGCTTTTCTGTAATGGATCTCCTTTTCTGCCTCCACTCAAGAATTTACCTCTCCTCTCCCATCAATAATCAATGAGGAGAGGGGCTGAAGAAAGACGCGGAGGCAACTCAACGACGATGTTTAAGTGATTAATGGAAACCTCATTAGGAACTGGAGAAAAGTCAAACTATACATTATCCCAGAGTCTTGAGAATAAAGAGGGGTTTCAGTTTGAAGGAGGAATGTTTAATGCGGGTTAACAGGAGTTTCATGGGGAGGCAGTGATGGAGGGAGACTTCGGGGGGGGCAGCTGAGGGCAAAGTAGTGGGATAATTGAGACGCTTTATCAGGCCAAAGCTGCCAGACTCTGGCCAATGTCCCCATTTTCTACTGTAAGGAGAGTGAGAGGGAGAGAGAGAAGGGAAAACAAATTGATGTGGCCTTTTATTTATAGAAAGCTGATGCTTTTAGTGGAATTAGTTGCCTCGGACAAACACTACGACGCTACCGTATACGGCTGTTTTTAGAGGGCCGAAAAGCAGCGTAATATGTTCACACGCTTCCGTGAACGGTCATGTCTAAAAATAGAGGTCAGTGGTGACATGTTCACCTGTGTGTGCATGCCGTGTGGGTTCAGCCATGCTTGTTGGATGAGATTATACATGCGGGACAACACCGAGGTGATGCGCTGCAGCCAAACAAAAGTCTTTCATCATCGCATGGCTGCTGAGTTTGTTGCATCCCTCCACCTCTGTGTATCTCTGAATGAATAGCTGACCTGGGTATCGCAGGGAAAAAAAAATCTAATTTGTGTTACAACAAAGGCTCCAAATTTGACAGCGGATTGAGGGCGGATTGATTGAGAGGGAGAAGGAGATGTGAGGAGAGCAGCGAGGATTAGTGTCAGAGGGGAAATGATGGTGACAAGAAACAGACAAGGATGGGAGGAGAGCAATTCTGAGAAAAACATAAAGATAAGATGGAAAAATGTAAAGAGCCAGGAAAACATAACAGAATGACATAAGATTTTGCCTGAAAGCAGATTTCACGAAGGCTTTACAGACACTGATGGCAGGAAGGGTTGTTTGGACAAAGCACCCCGGCAACAGGAGGAGTGTCCACCTGTGATGAAGGGGAAAAGGTGGAAAAGGAGGAGGAAGGGAAGGAGAGAGAGAGGTCGACGAGTTACAGGTAGATAACGCGAGAGAGGTAAAGTTCAGGAGGTATAGAGTGTCAACTAAAGGATCAGGAGATAGCGAGCGAGGGCAGAGGTGCAGGAACTCAATCCAGGAGTCAAGACTACAGCTGATGATAAAAACCTCCACACCTGCTCACACCAGGAAGGAGATATGGACGGGAGCATCTGAAGAAAACACCTTTAGGACATAATATAGGAGGAACATTTCAACTTTTCCTGGACTCCCTTTATTCAGTCTTTCATTTCTAAAATAAAACCTGGAATAAACAAAAAAACTGAACCTGAAATGGAGGAGAATTTTTGACACAATTTTTTTTTGTGAGAGAAACTGACAAATCTGATGACCTCTTCATGTGACTTTTTGTTGGGGATTTTTAAACATTTTTTTTAACACATTGAATTAAAAGCAGCAACAGGCACCGCGGAAAGAAAAAGAGGAGAATCGGGAAGAGCGAGGGTGAGGGAGGGGGAGGGGGAGTGAGGAAGAGAGAGAGTGTTGTGAGCCGGTGACACCGAGATGTTCATGCTCATTCGAGAGCCGTCCGCCGGAGGAGGCGGTGCTGGAGCGATGAGCGGGGCGAGTGAGAGGAGCGCAAAACAGGTGTGTACACGAGGGGAGGCTGCAACCATGTTTTTATGTCTGTTCAAAAGTATTTCTGTGTGTAATTCTCTCTGAAATGTTAAATTCTTTTTAAAAAAAACAACCTTTTGCTCTGCTTTTCTTGTATGCGTTTGTCACATTTTATGTCAATTTGAGTTGCACATTGTTTAGTTTTGCATGATCTTCTCATAGTGTTTCATTAAGCTTAGTCCCAAATGCAGTGATAGAAGATAATCTTAATGCAGTAATGAAGTCTAATTGATGTAACAGGTGAAGAATTGCTTTCTTGAGGAAAACAAGTCTGCATAGCTCCTAAATTATTAAGTTTTGTTATGTCTTAGACTGAAAAACTCCCTCTAAAAGTGTGAAAGTGCAAAAAAATTGGGGGATACAAGCTGTGTTTTTGGTATTATCATAGCAAAGTTGACATATATAGTATTTAACTTGTTTAAATGCCAGAAATTGCTTCAAAAAAATCCAGTTTTAAATGGCCAGACATTCAGTTCTTATTTCAGGTCATCCGAACCACTGGCCACTGTAACTGGCACCCCTGAATTAATACTACATGTGCATCAGTCTGAGCCCACAGCATCACTTTCCTTCACCCCTCTGCTCTTTCCTCACAGGTGCAGGCTGCCATCAAGAAGAAGGTGGAGAAGCAGAAGAAGCGGACCAACGAGCAGGGAGACAGTCAGCCCGCTGCTCCACAGCCTTCTCGTCATCAGAAAGCCAGACAAGCATCTCAGATGATGGCGGCGGAGGCAGCTGAGGACAGCGAGGTGCTGGACGAGACGCTGGAGGAGATGATGGAGGGGCCGCCGAGGAGGGAGAAGGAGAAAGAGACGGAGGTGGAGAACGTCGACCTGCTGCCCATAGTGGACTCTGTGTTTGGACAGGTAGGAGGGTGTGAATGCTCAAAAAAAAAAATGCGCGTGAGGATTCTTCTTTGGATGTAATGTCTGTCTGATTAAGTGTGTGTGTGTTTGTGCGCAATAAAGTGTGCGTTTCATTTGCTTCTTCATCAAGTTCTCTGGCTGATTGAATGTCCCTCCAGTGGCTTGATTGAAACCCTAAGCTGTCAATTTAAATTTAAAGCCCCGCTGAGCTCCAGATTTTGTAACTAGCAGACCTCCTCACACCCCTGACCTCTGACCTTTGAAGGATGTAAAGCTAAATTCAGCACAGCAACATAAACATCTTTTTTTTTTTTTTTTTTTGGCGCTTTCTCGTTTAACCCTAAATCCTCGTGTGCATGGCGGGATCTGTAAAGCCCGAGCGCTACAGCTAAGAATGATGATAGCGTGGGGTTTGAGAGGATTTAAGCTCCTTTACTTTGGGAAACATTACGAAAGTGTAATCCGTAAAAGATACGGCCATAGTCAGCCAGAGATCTGATGAACACCGTATCGCTGCGGCCATTGTATCAGCTCAGGATCGCATCACATCCCATCACTCACATGGCAGGAGGCGACACACGACACGGCACGCTAGGCTGCACCGTCGCAGCATCTGTCACCCCGGGGGTCAGACATGTGTGAGAAAGTGGCGAGTTTGCGTATGAAAATAAATCAAAAGAGATTACACACAGGTTTAAGCCTCACTGGCTTCCTGCTGCTGACCTCCGCGTGAGTCACTCTGGATGTTTGTTGTTGTTTTTTTTCTCCTTGACATAAAGAAAGCGTCACATCCACCTGATCACGTCAGCAAAGTCTGAAGAAGGCGATGATGAGTGAGGCTTAACTTAGAAACAGGGAATCAATACAGGAAAAGGAAGAAAAAGTGATGTCAGCGGTGATGCGAGTGATCCAAAATAGGAGAGAGCGGATGAGTGAGTGGGAGAGAGCGAAGGCTTGAAGAGAAGAGAAGAGAAGAGAAGAGAAGAGAAGAGAAGAGAAGAGAAGAGAAGAGAAGAGAAGAGAAGAGAAGAGATTTTCACTGTGAGGTCCCTCAAGGGTCCTTGAGCCTCAGTTTTGACACCCAGTGCATTATAGCATGAAGCCTGGTTGCAACAGTCAAGTCATAGACAGTAGGTACAGTATTCCCAGAGACCCTCAGCCCCCACATAATGAAATGAACCGAAACAGACGGCTTCCACAGACTCATCTCCTTAAAGGGATCTTTCACCAAACAAACCCACTCACAGACGTTACATCAGAAACCTTCACCAAGTGGCCAAGTTACAGTTTACGCCTGTGTGTGTGTGTCCAGAATATGCAGTGAAAACTTTGAAATGCGTAAGTTCATTGACAGAAACAGGCAACAGAGTCAAATTCCTTTTATGTGTTCACGTTTGTCCACTGAAACTGTTTCAGATCGAACACAAAACTGTAGCAAAAGTGATGCTTCAAATCTGGATGTTGCTGCAAAGAAGCAACAAATTCTTCACAGGAGATCAGAGCAGTTTGCCACAGGTCAAAGGTGTCACCAAATTTAGTATCTGAACAACTGTGAAATATGGTCACAGTCTCCCTTCTGTTGCTGAGTGACAGTGTTGAAAAAACGCTCTTGCAGAACATTAGGGTGTCACAGTAAAGATGAAATTTGGATATAGAATCACTTCATCAATGCATTCTTTTAGACATTTGTATGAAATTTGTCATAATCAGTGTATGAATCATTTGCTAAAAAGGAGGTTTGTGGGGTCAAAGTGACATTTTAGCATCACAGTCTAATGAGTTTGTCTTTGAGTCCAAGTAAACACTGAAACGCCTAAAGTGAACAAATACCTCGAGGTGTTTCTGACATATCACATGTATGAGAATGGGACATATATGCACAAATTAAATGCCTGAAACCATAAGCCCTCTGACTATCGCTGTTGCTGGTACGGAGGCATGATGAGGACTCTTTGATGGGATAGGTTCACCCAAAGGTTCTGAACATCTAATCTTTGTTAAAGAAATGCGCTAGTATTATAGTTTCAGTATTTGTGAGTGCGCAGTGGTCTACTAGAGTCCCTGTGACGTAACTTTCTAAGGCTTTCATTCAGATTCCTTGAACCTACTGTGCATGTATAGAACATGTTCTGCAAGAGGATTAGAAAGCAACAGAAAAGAACAGCTCTGGTGTCTGCTGCTGGGAAGATAATCTGGACCTGGACGTTGTTGCTTTAAATCAAACCAGTTTAAATGGATGGTCACTGAGATTGTTGCACTTTGAAATGAGAAAGTTTTGTTATTTTAAATTACATTCTGTTTTTAGTTTTATTTGCTATTATTTGTGCTATTTTAAACATTTAAATATGCTTAAAGGCATACAGTTTTAAGAGTTTACTTTAGTGATTGTAATGTGTGCTGAGTGTAGCTCGAGGAAAAAACAAAATATCAAACCAGTTACATGAGGAAGACTTTTAGTCATGGTTCACTGTGGTTATTGGTGATTTATTGTCAGAGAAATGTTTTTTGGATAAAGGCTCAGTTTGGAACCTATTATGTATTAATTCATTATCTATTTATTCATGCAAACTTTATCCTCCACATAAGCGTTATTGTATCCTCGCTGACCTGTCGTGCTCTCACTAAACACTCGTTAGGTTTCACCAGCCATCATCAATTTTTATATTAAGCAGTATTATATAACGCAGACGAAAGCACTCGGCTTTGAACAGCTATGATATTAATGTACAACACTAATGTAACATCAACTGTGCCGGAGTAATTGCTTTTACATCTTTCAAATAATACTTTTATCTGAGATGGTTTTACTTTATTAGAGTTTGAATGCAGGTGTTTTGCTTCCTTCCATCCTTGCTTCCTTCTTTCCTTCACACTCCATCTCTTCTAGTATTTCCCTGCTTGACGTCTCTCATTACTGGAAACCAGCAGGTGTGCATCTGACACCAGATCAGAACCTGATACATCGACTGATTCACCTTCTCGCACACACGCGGGACTCACATTACCTGAGTCATACCCATCTCTCACAGCACGCACACACACACAATGCCTGGTTCGTGCTGTGTGTGCAATAAAATGGGCCTCCAGCTGCTAAAGTGACTTCATTCAGTGCTGATACTCTGATACAAGCAACTGAAAAGTAATCAAAACAGAAGCCCTGTAACATAAATAAAGCCGTGTGTGCGTGAAACACACACCCAAAGACACATACACCTACTAGGAGCATCCCATTTGCGTGATTAATTGAAACCATCAGTAAGAGAGAACGAGCCTGGTAATTAATCAGGTTTGATGGTATTGTGCGTCTTCGGTTGCAGCCGCTGGTGTCGGTTTTGTCATTAAATGCGACCAACAAGGTGAATCATGAAGGAGGAACTCTGCAGCGGCTCATAGAAAGAAGTGATTGATCTGGTTGTGTGGCGCTGATAGACCCTCGCTGAGCTCCCTAATTGGATTCATGCTAATAAAACGGTTTTGTAGTGTTAATAGGCCGTGTGTTTTGTGGTGGATGTAATGAGCCGGACGGATTAATGGAGCGGTTTTGTTTGTAGCTGGTTCAGAGGTTATTAGATTTTGATGTGGTGATGAGGTATGCAACTGACATTATGCAGAAAGTGTGTTATGGATAGAATCAAAATTTCCTTGGAAATATTCTGATGAAAACACAAAAATTACATAAAAAAACACGAGCGTATTTTCAATTTTTTTTTTTTGTAAAAAGTACATCTCTTTTGGCCTGAGCTAAATCAGGGGCTTCATGTTTTATCATGTTTGATTTACTTGAACCTTTTTTTTTTTTTCAAATCTTAAACTATTGATATTTATAAAGATATTTGTGAGATTTTGGATAAATATGTTAAGTACTTTCTAAGATAATCTTTCTATAAAAAGCCTGTCAGTCCATTTCTGATGTTTTATTTTTTTGCACATTGTAATTTGAGGCTATGTTTGAACACCAATATCTCAGGCACTAATAAAGATAGAAGCCTGAAATTTTCACTATTATTTCTCATCATGCCATTCAGTAAGAATCTGAAATATTGGACAAGTAGATCAAAAAATCTCTAATTACGGGGGAATTGAAATGAAAAATAAAAACAACTGAAGTTATCATGGAACGCTTTATCTTTGAGCACACACTAACAGAAACATTGATAATGTGGAAGTCAGCTCGTGATATATTCTAAACCATGTGTGGTTTCATGTGACGGTTATAAAAACAAAAAAACAAAAAAAACATTTAGAACCCTTTTTAGTATGAAATAGTCAATGAAAAAAATCTATATTTTTGCTGAGTTTTCATCACTGATTGAGCAGGTATGATAAGTTGTACCACACAAACCAAAATATCACGAGATAGCCTGATCCAAGTATAGCGGATTTCTGGAGTTTCAAAATATTTCTCAAAATATAACTAAGTTAATAATGTTTGTTTTATTTCACCTCAAATTTAACCTACGATGTTTTTGTTAATGTCAGCTCAAAGATGAGTCTTTTCATGGCTCCTTAATCTTATTTTTCGTATTTCAACTCACCCATAATTGTTAAATGTTTATTGTCTGTGTCTAATATTGTAGATTCTGAATGAATGACTGAGATACTGTCATTCAAACAGAGCTTCAAATTTTAATCTGCAAAAAAACCCAGAAATGTGCTCAAAGTGTATTGATAAGCAATTTAAATTTTTTTTAATCTAAAACAAAATAAAGACAAATCAGAGATGGTCAAGCAGAAATTGTTAAAAAATGTGATGTTTTTAGGTGGAATGACCCAAGTGTTACTTTCCAGATGTTAAATTTTAAATTTGGGAGTGGGAACCTTTATTACATAACATCATTTACACATGTATAAATAATTATAAACGTGCACAAAATATGACTTTTCCATAAGCAGCTGCATGAGTGCAAACAAAAAACTATAAACACAATATGATGCTGAAATATGTGATCAGGGTTTGTTTACTTTGTATTTCTGCTTTTTTTTTTTTTGCATGTGTCCAT